AGACTCTTTCATGGCAGAGGCTTCCGAGGCGGAGTCTTTCTGCGCAGAAGCCCGTTCTTCCTGCACTGTATGGCAAACTTGCAGGATCCTGGCATAGGTAAGAGGCTAAAGTAAGATCAGCCATGCTATTTGTGTCTGCGATCATGATTCAAGTGATGGACGGGGTGACAGGGTAGGTGCTGCTTCGGTTGGAGCCTCGGACGATCTGATGCTGGCGACAGAGAGCTCGTATCTGATGAGATATTCATCGAGAATATGCGAGAATTAATTCATGATCTCTTCCTTGGACATGCTGAAAACCTCAGGGAGACTGATCTGACGATACGGAATTGAGCGATGCGTAAAAAACGTACGCAGGATCAACCTCAGTCCCTAGGTAATCTGTGAACCCTGACTTGACGGCTGGTCGGGAGGGTATCATAAAAACCTCACATTGATGATTGGAAGTAAGTCCCCGACGAAGAGGGTAAGTTCCCTGAATATGGGGTGTTTGCTTGCAAGGTCAAGGCAAGCCCGGTGTTGCTGTGCCGCGTCGAAGATACTTGTATGAGTGTAGGACAGCGGTGATCTGACCTCACCTGTGACAGTGATATCGGGGTAAGCGGATAAGAGAATGGAGCCGGTCAAACCTGCTCAGTTCTGATATTCAGGACTGAGCATAGCGACAACATCAAGATTTCTCGTTCCGAAGCGTAATGTAAAATAGGGCTTCTTCCGGGTCACACCTACTGATGGACATGGGTTCATTGACTATCTTGAAAGGAGTCTCAGAGTATGATTTGTGATTCAAACTAGCTAGGCGGAGGATATGATTCTTCCTTCATTTTGAACGAATTGACTGATGTCATCTGACATGAACCCTCCACTGACAGGTAGTACCCAGCACCTACTACCTACCTAGATACAACGCCTTCGTGCCCGTCCCCGATGGGCATCCAGAGTCTCCGAGCGATGGAGAGTGAACTTGATCTTCGAGTGCTGGACAAGCACAGGCGAGATTCTCACATATGCGGCCAAAGTTCAAGTACTGTACTGTCAATGTGACAGAGATGTAAAATCAGGCTCCGCGTAGGGTTCCACTTAGTACTAAGAGTAAGTATAAGTAAATCTATAATTCAACCTCGAAGTAAGAAAATGGCTCTGAAAGTTGTAGGGTAAAGGAAGTCATTTCGTTGCCACAATCGATACTTTTCAGCTTTGAGAAATCCAGTCAAACAATTATTCGGAGGCTTTACCGCGGCATCTCTTTCACCTCTTGTGATCACAAACTCAGCAGATATCAAATATTCTCATGCACACTCTGTGGTGCTGATAGGCACCTGCATACTTCGAGCCGTGGGTGTCTCAATGCATACTTCAATCACGATCACGTGGAGCGAGCGGCGTCATCCGCTTAGGTCCCAGCCTCCAAAGGCTTATCTCCGACTCGACGGACTCAACAACGTGCTCTTCCAACCATTTCTTTTGCTGCGATTTTTCTCGGGTGTTGAAGTCTATATTCAAGAAAGAACGTGTCTGACGGTTGCTGCTACTCGAATTGCCGGGCTACCTGGCGCAAGATCATTCCGAACCATCCAGTCCGTCCCCAGATCACAGTGGACCCTTCCTGCGGCCCGGGCCCAACATCACACCCCCCAGACCGACGCCGACACAAGTAGCCTTGAAACTCTCGGGCGCTTTCCAACTCTTGCAAATACCACAGTATATCTTAAAACCACCATCATGTCGAACCCGTTGGATACAGACGCAGGCTCGGAAATGTTCGCCAGCTATGAGAACGAGCTGAAGCTCGTCCAGGCGGACCTCAGTCAGAAGCTGGATCAGATCGCCGAGGCAAGCGGCGAGCAGCGCAAGTCTGCAATCCGACAAGCGGAGCAGGTCCTCGACGAGGCCACAGAATTGGTGGGTATCTCTTCAAGTTGGAGCAAATGGTCCTTCCCAGTTACCAGTTTGCTTGTACTGACACCTCGTCCTCTTGCCGCATAGCTCGATCAAATGCGTCTGGAAAAGCAGAACATCCCCTCCGCCTCGCGATCCAAGGTCAACATTCGCTTCCGCAATTACTCCACTGATATCGACGAGACCAAGCGCAAGCTCAAGTCCCTTTCAGACGACCGCAAAGCTCTCTTTGGCGATCGCTACACCGATGAGCCCGTCGACGAACACCTCGAACAGCGCCAGCAACTATTGTCGGGCACCGAGCGCCTCGAGCGCAGTTCTGCCCGTATCCAGGGTGCCCAACGAACCGCATTGGAGACAGAGGATATCGGGCGCGGTGTTCTGGCCGATCTGCATCAACAGGGCGAGACGCTGCGGCACACTCGTGCGACACTTCAAGGGAGTGAGGGATACGTCGACAACAGTATCAAGACCCTGAGGGGGATGGCTCGTAGGTAAAGTGCTCTCCGTACCATCCTTCATTCGCATTTTGTTTTGCAGGACCCGTGACTGACGGGTTTGCAGGATGGCTACGAATCGGATAATCACGATTGCGATTATCACCGTCCTTGTTCTATTGATTTTCGCGGTCATTTTTAGCAAGTTCCACTAGCGATGCGGTGCTGATTCCATTTTAACGCTGGCGTTTTTCTTTCAATGTCGGGAGCTACTCTGCTACCGTCTTCTAGGTGGGCACTTGAGCTGGTTGGCGTGCATGCCCTAATGATCAATGTATACTGGCTAGGTGGGTATCTCTAGTCGATACAATGCAATTTTATCTGTCACTCAACAGCTATTGTCACCCGCTGTGCGGGTTTGCGGGTTCTATTCATCATAACGTCAAGTTGCTAGGGGACTCGACGACAGCTGAGTTAGGTAGTATGTACTGTGTACCTAGGTAGGCTTCGAGGTTCTATGTCCAGGACCTGGGGAGAGCGAAAATTTCCCGCATTGTGGTGCAGACTCGGAGACGGGTATATGTGTAGTTCAAAAGCCACGAAACGCCAAAGCCATGCAAATGTTCTCCGCAAGGAGCTTGCTATCTATCACAGCACGACAACCCAGACCCCTCTCTGGATGCTCCCTAGTTCATGATCCTAAACCCCCCAAACACGGCATTCACAATCAACCCCGCAACAACCGCCATACCTTTCCTCCAGCTCCAAACACCTTCTTCATTCCTCAGCCAGAACGCACATCCGATCGGCCAGAAGAACCCCATGACAGCTCCCCACAGCATATCGTCTATTGCCGTCGGCGACCCTGATCCAAACCCACCATCGTCATCACCGCCACCGCCTCCACCCGCACCACCAAGTCCCCCACCAGCTTGCGCCTGCGCTACCGTTGACCCTTCATCCATCCACCGGTCCTCGAGGTCCCGTAGCTCGTCCCCCGTGGGCATTGTGTCGCGTGTCCTGGACACAGATTGCACGGCGAGGAATTGTGATCGAAGAGCTGTCACCTCTGCGGGTGTAAACCCCGCCGCCAGTAATCGGTCGAAGCCACGTGGGGCCGGCGTGGTCGATGAGTGTTGCGCTGGCGGTGACTGGGACTGTGATGCGTCGGTTGACCGAGACGTAGAGTCATTGTTTCGGGCGAGCATTGACGTCTGTGATGCATCTTTTTGTTTTTCTAGTAAATGTGTCGAAGCGACTGCTGCCTCGGCGGCGAGGTCGGATTCTGAGAGGGCGATGTCGCCGATTGAGCAGTGGATGTAAAGACGCGGCCGTGTGTCTCGAACAGGCTGTTTTCCTTTGCGCTTACGGCTCAGAAGGCTTTGCTCTGCAGTAGAGGGCTCGCCATCATCGTCGTCGTGGCCATCCCCTTGATCTTGATCATCCTCATCTTCATCAGCCGGACGAGGGGTCCGACTTGAAGAAGGTGGAAGCTTGAGAGAAACTGCAAGGGCGGTTGTGTCTTCAAGGCCACGGCCAGCGTATATGAGACGCAGTCTATGATTTTTGAGCGTGGGTGGAAGTTTGGCACGGATCAATTGTTTGAGACCGGCGCCTGTTGTGGACTCTGCATTGGGTACATCGAGGTTGAGGTCGGGTATTGATGCGGAGAAGCGGACGATGACGAGGAGATCCAGGGCGGATGATGGGGAGAGCCTGGATTGGAAGGCCATGGCGAAAGGCTTGTGAGCTCTAAAGACAGTCTTGGGGGAGCGCTGTTGGTCATGACAATTGATCTTTAAGGTTATGGGTCGTTCACTCGGGCGACATGATTAGGTTGCAATCTGGTAAGTTCAGGTATACGACTGGATGCGCGTAGTCGTACCTCTTATCAATCGCCGGCTGCCCGCAGATCGGGATCCGTCATAAATGGAACAAAAGGTACGGTAGGAAAGTGGTACTAACTTAACCCTCTCTGCGGGGGTGACTAATAGCGCGGGTCCGCTGGCACCTGTCCGCACTCCGCAGTCTGCACCCAGCCCATTGATGTGCATTTACGGAATTCGCCTTGATCTTATACTACTTTCATAGATTGAATCTCCCTTGAATATCTCCCCTGACCTCTTTTAGAATGAATCATCTCTGAAATGAATTGATATTGGATGCTTATTTCTATTGCATCTCCAACCACAACATCGATGTGTCTATAATCTGGAATTGATGTCATATGCCTGCACGTCCACTGGGCCTAACTAAATATATTGCAGCCGACAGGTTCAAATCCGCCAATATCTAGTTGAAGCCTCACACCTTGAGTATCTGCCCAAATAACCAACACTCCCATCATTGGAAGCTGACCGTCGCAGACCTCTGAGTGTAACACCCAAACGTCTGGAATGATCTCATCCGCCAAGAGACATCAGTCCTCAGACCAAAGATGACCCATGGTCATCTGCAGTATATCCTCAAGCTCCAGCTACCAATTGTCAAACCAGAAACCACAACCATCCATAGCTTTCCCGCCTGAGTACCTAAACTTGGAGCCGCGTTGAAGCTAATTGCCCTCATGAGCGAAGGTCTATTAACGACAGAGAAACGTCCCTCAAAAAACATGCGTGAACAGTGTCTCACAGAGGGAGAGAGGAAAGATCAAGGAAGCAAAAATAGTCGCGCCCGGGATCGAACCGGGAACCTTCTGAGAGCATACGCCGAGACATGTGAATCAGAAATCATGACCATTAGACCACGCGACTTTGTTGAAAATCTGGTCTTATTTTGACTACATCATCTCCGGCGAAGCTGGTTAAAAGATAAGAATACCTGTAGTTCTGGCCCCATCGCAGATATCTATGTGCCTAAGTAGACATGGAATGGAATGTTCAACCTATTCTTCCTTAATCATAATATGCTATATTTCCGTACACCGAGCCTTTAAACAGATACATGCTTATGAAGCTCAGTCAGTCTTTCTTGACCAAAAACATCGAAGAGTAGGGAAGTATCAGTGATACCGCACAAGAAATGTTTTCCTCATGGGTATTCTCTTAGCATGTGATAAAAGAGCTCGGGTAATGACGCGCATAGAATGCAACATTGCAAACTACTTACGGGCCAACAAGAGCATTACCACACCTGGCCCATATGTCCCTGCTTCATGTAACCAGAACTTGAAGAACCTTCAACAAAGTCGCGTGGTCTAATGGTCATGATTTCTGATTCACATGTCTCGGCGTATGCTCTCAGAAGGTTCCCGGTTCGATCCCGGGCGCGACTATTTTTGCCGTCGTTCCTTCTTTCCCGATATATCACCACCGGCAAGTCTTGTAGGCAGTACGCTATTGTGTATTTTATGCTTAGTCGCGTGGTCTAATGGTCATGATTTCTGATTCACACTTTCATTGGTATGCTCAGAAGGTTCCCGGTTCGATCCCGGGCGCGACTATTTTTGTGCATTGTTGGGGTGATGGTAGGATTTGTTGATGGCGGGTTGGAGAGTCGGGGGATCTGATGCTTTGTTTTTTGGGGTGTGTCCCGTGATCCAGACTGAGATGCAGTAGCACTATCTACCCAGTGGGCCACTGGAGTAAAAACACCACTACAATGGTATTCTAACTGTACTTAGAGCAATTGACATGTTTATTGGAAGATATATGACAGCACCTGGGCTGCTTCATCGAGTCTTCATGGAGAGGGAGTCACAAGCCGATACAAACAGAAATGCGCCGAATTCATGAGAGCTTCTATTGTTCATTACACCGAGATCTTTGAATATTGCAATTGCAAAGTACTCGAGATGATTGAGAGTGGTGAGAAACAGGCATTATATGCCCAGTATCAAATTGACAAAACGAGGCAGGTCTGACAGACCGCGGATTATGGTATCTGAAAGTAAATATAAACTTTTTTCCCCCGACACATCTCAAGGATGCTCCACGGGCGTGGAATCAAACCAACAACGATCAACAAGAAAAGCAAATCGCTACTTCAATCAAGACAACGCAATAAATAAGGAACCACAATGGGACAGCCATCATCAACAGCCATCCACCCTAATGAGGAAGAAACTCCTTGGCAGAAGCCTTAAACCTCTTGACCATAAAGCCCGGGCTGCAATTCGCCTCCCAGTCCTCATCGAATCCCATATCAGGATTATACAGTGTGGCGCTGTTCTTGCGTCCACCGGCAGAAATCATAGACACGCCCAGGGGCAGGTCTTCACCCTGGATGGAGGAGTCGGAGCCTCGGCGCTCGCCACAGGGGCATGTGGCTGTTATCCTGTCGCCGGGGGTTGTGCAAGGGCATGCGCCGAGGGAGCGATTGCAGGGCACGCACTTGTAGTAGGCGCGGCCGATGCCACCCTGGGAGCTGTCGAGACGGGAAGAGACGCGAACACCGGGGAGACCGCATTGGGAGCAGTTCCAGCCGGATGTTGGGCGTTCGAGGTGTTGCATCGTCATGATGGAGTTTGGTGTGGGAAGATGTGGGATTGGGGTTGTGGATGTGGAAATGGAAGCTAGTATAAATCTGTAGATGGGGAATTAACCTGGTGTTCGAGGTCGTACAAAGTGAGGATGAGTGTAGCAGGATGAGAATGTCTTACATTCAAGCTCGATATTTCAACGAATTGATAATAGTTTGAATGATGAAGCTTGTAGTAGCTTTGCCTTGCGCAGTGAAGATAAGAGAAGGAGATGTCTTAATAATAATGAATCAGATCGTAATGGTTTATGATTGCAAGTGATGCTGGTGATCAGAATCCGGGGAAAGCCACGCCTTTTATAGAAGAATGGATGAAAATTTTGATTTTGCGGGGGAGGAATGAACGTCGATCCTCATGACGCTATTTTGAGAATGAATGTCTCCATTCTCAACAATTCCACTTTCATCTCAGGGGAATTACTGGATCCGATGGGATTAACGGATCAGATGGCTCGAAAAGGGAGACATTCTCTGGAAAATGCCTGGTAAAAACTTGAATCAATTACGAAAAAAAAAAAAAAAACAAAAACAAAAAAAAAGTGGAAAAAAAGGTGGAAAATCCCCAAGAGATGCCCAAAAAGACATCACAAGACTAACGAATGATGCAAAGCTCTCCATGAGTGATTAAAACTGGCATCGTCCATGTCGAGTTGGCATGGCCCTTTCCCGGGGTTCCCATGTTCCACTCGAACCCACCTGCAGACGGGAGGATCTTCCAGATGTTGCAAGAAATCACGTAAAAAGTGTGGGGTTGAACCGTTCTAGAACCCGCCGGGCTAGCCTGACTCGCCTGACGGATGGGCACGGGGGGGTCACCTGGCCCCGGGCCTGCCTTTGCCCAGCATTGCCTCCCCAGCCTTTAAGGAAGGCGCGACTGGGCACACTGGCACAGTGTGGGCAGACCGCCGAATGACTGGACGAGGCTGGGGAAGGGCCTCTGGCCCTGCCGGCGCCAGCCGAGCCATTAGGTAATATCGCGCAAAACGGGGCGGTCAAGTGACTCGAGCGAGGTTTGGCATTGGTTTATTTGTGTCGACTTACGTGTTGAGGAGTGGATTGTGAAAGTAAGGGTTGCTCCTTTTATTTTTTTCTCATTTTTTGAAAAATTTTGTCTTGTTTTTGATTGATGGTCTCCTTGTGGAATATCGTGGGGAAATCATGATGCAAATGGATCGTTGCTGCGGCATTCTGATCCAGTCAGTCGGTGCGCGGTGTGGCGTGAGGTCTGGCTTATTGGATGTTCAACGCCGAGTATCACGCGAGAGACAGGAGGAATGCTGTATTGAGTCGACGAGACCGCCTGCGATTCAGCTTCCTGAAATAAGACTTCATACGCGGTAGCTGAATTATGCTCTCAGTCAGTGCTTGAATATATATGGGTGCTTACCGATAGATCTATCTGGTTATGTTTGATTATGAGGGTGAGACAGGTCAATTGCTAGGGGTTCGTCTAGGGCGTATAATGTGCGCACGATAGACCATGTGCCAATGATCACGCCATGCAAACAACATGCCAATGGTACCTTGCCCAGTCTCTACAGACCGCAACAAGTGCTGATAGAAGGAGAGGATTGCCTTCCAATTTTGCAGGAGAATTGTTCCATGTATTTGTATTACTATTCACATACCCTTGGTCCATAAGGTACCTACATGCATACCTAATCCGTTCGAGAGCATCGGCGACTTTTGACATGTTCATTACGAGTCGGTACTACAGTAGTTGAGTAGTACATTTTTACCGTAGTACAGTTATACAGTAGTCTCTGGAGTCCTGGACCTCGACATCATGCCGTTGTTCCGTCTAGCTCTCACGGAAAAATGAGCCGAGATGATCTCCCAACTCATCATTCACACCATTTTAGCAATTGACTTGCCTCGGTGAGTTGTGACCGCACGAAGCGTGCAACTATATACGGTGAAGTGACACCTGCTCATACTCACAGGCTCACTTCATTTCCCTGAACAACGAACCCATCCATCAAGTTCGCATCTCAAAAGTACAAATTTGATACAAAAACCTTGCAGTACAAATTACAATCCGTGGCACAATATTGTATGCCAGAGGTCCTATGCAGAGAACAGTGACTCACTGGATAGTAAGGTACCCTAGCATAGAAACATACAGGAATTGATGTGCCACTGCCAAGACACCTTCGACGTGGAAAGGGCGTCATCACCTGACCGGGTACGAGTCATTTGCCGCCAAGTCTAGTAACGGTGACCCCTGGACCATGGGCATGTAGACATGCAGTCATGCACTACCGGTTTACCAATACTAAAGTGCCAGTACTCAGGTAGTGCAGTACTACTGTACTATAAGGTTTGCTCCCTGTCCATTCTGCACATTACATGGTGCATTCAGTATTCGTTGAGAATGAGATTTGAGCGTCAGATTCTCTGCTTCAAGATGGACACCGACAGAACGTCCAATCCTCAGGACATGTCCGATTTGACTAAGTACAGGTAAGCAAGTGACTCAAAGTGTCCACTGTCACTGTCACTGTCCAGTACCATACCTATAGTCGATGTCAGACAAAAAGTATTCAGGGATGGACATCCGGACTTCTTATCCGAGATCCGTCGTGCCTGGGTCCACCGGAATCGGATCACGCGGATGACGAATTTCTAGAAACGAGGTCGAGTGGAATGTATGCAAGAGTCTTTGCCAAGAGGGGCAAAGTCGACGGCCTATTGTTGTGGTAATGTGATATAGACAGCCACAGCATCGATTGCATGTTGAAAATTGAGCACAGGGCTTGGAATTGAGTTCTCGAAAAGGTATACTAGACCTAGACCATAAGGTAAGGTATGTTTTATGTGGTTAGTGCTACCTAGACTACCACTAGACTCTAGTTAGCGTCAGGTAAGTACGACTGCTTTGGTACTGGTTCGTTGTTGGACCTCGGCCATAAATGGGGTTTCTATGTCAACGTTACAGTGAGAGCTGTCTTGCGATAGGTAGATTGATACTTTTCAAAAGGAGGAATTGTCGTTACACACGGCTTGTGAGCCTTGCAATTGCTTCACATAAGTCATGCTGATTACCTTCTACTTTGTACAACCTCAGTGGTATGTGATGTGCAGACGTTGGTACCGATCCCGGTAGCAATCTTCAGCTCCGCCTGCCGTCTCTTTCCAGAGGGCAACAGCACTTAATCGAAGTGGAACTGATGGGTCACCTTACACATGAAAGAAATCTATATACAAATAATGGAGGTCACGACAACATTGATGAGGCCCTTCAAGATTGAGCCAATATCATTCGTCCAGGATTGGTGGTCTGTCGGTATAAGTGAAGTGACTGAATCGCACAATGTGTGTCATGAGGGCGCCTGAAGGCGCGCAGTTTCCGCGACCATCGTGAGATCTCTCCTGTGCGCCGCTCTTAGATCAGATCCGTTGAGGAAGGGTTCTACAGGTGAAGGAAGATACGGGACTCAAGAGTCGTCCATCAGAGGAAGCATTTTTCATAGTCATCATCGATATCGAATATTAAGTCTATGCCACACTATGAGATACAGGCTTGACTGTGACAAGGCAGAAGTTGACGGGATGCCGAGCAGTGAGCAGCGGTAAGGCAGGTCTCTGTTGCGCAAAAGTGAACACTCCCCCAATCACACTCGACAGCCCAACTGTGCTCGTAAGATCATTTCACCGAGGGAATGCTAATGACCAAAGGTGACGGTGGGAATTTCAAAGTTAAACAAGTGTATCAACTGGATATCGGGAATATGAAGCGGTCCCCCACAAAAGATCATCATGCAGGCAAAGTCCGAATGGGAAAGATAGAGAATGAACGAGTTGAAGAAAAGACGCCATCCAATGCACCGTAAATGACCAACGCCAATAAGCCGAGGCAACAAGTCGAATTCATAAGATTGGCCAGGCCGTCTTAGACCATGAAGGATTCACCGCATCCGCATTCCTCCTCTGTTGGTGGAAATGGTTAGTAAGAGAGACATC